TTTCTTTCTTTCTTTCTTTCTTTCTTTCTTTCTTTCTTTCTTCTTTCTAGATTTTATTTATTTATTTGTCAGAGAGAGAGAGAGCACAAGCAGGGGAAGCGGCAGGCAGAGGGAGAAGCAGACTCCCCGCTGAGCAAGGAGCCCAGGACCTTGAGCCGAAGGCAGATTCTTATCTGATGAGCCATGCAGGCGTCCCTAGGTTTACCTTTCGGTGATGCTCAGAGAGGGCCTGTGGGAAAACTGAGTCTGCAGACTTTGAGCTCCTCAGTGGGCACCCTCTGATGGGGAGGAAGGCAAGCTCCATATTCCAGGCCACTCACTGCCCGGCCTCTGAGTATGTGCCCTGGAGCGACGGGGGATCTGGGTCCACGCGGGCTCCCCACCTCTTTTGGTGTGGTCAGCTAAACCTCTCCTGCTCACCTGGTCACTTTCACAGGTCCCCGGATGAGAAGGAGCTGACAGCAGCCGAGTGTCACCTTCTCTGAGTGCTGGGGAGCAGGGCTTTGTGGCCCAGGCGGCAGCAATGCCGAAGAACAGCAAGGTGACCCAGCGCGAACACAGCAGCGAGCATGTCACCGAGTCGGTGGCCGACCTGCTGGCCCTCGAGGAGCCGGTGGACTACAAGCAGAGCATCCTGAACGTGGCGGGCGAGACAGGCGGCAAGCAGAAGGCCGCAGACGAGGAGCTGGGTGCGGAGGACCGGCCGGCCTGGAATAGCAAGCTGCAGTACATCCTGGCCCAGATTGGGTTCTCTGTGGGCCTGGGCAACATCTGGAGGTTCCCTTACCTGTGCCAGAAAAATGGAGGCGGTAAGAGGCGGCCCTGCCTGCCCTGACGGCGCCCTGCAGTTGGGCCAGGCCCAGGGGTGAAAAAGAACACCCTTTGCTGATGCAGAATTGGGGCTCTTGGAGGGTGGAGCTCGGGATTCTAGAGGAAGGCTCCTCAGAAATAGCCAATGGTTAACAGAGGCTGTCAGGCATGGTGATAATAAGGACCCGGGCTCTGGCCCAGGATGCCCTGCGTGGAGACCCCAGTGCAGCCAGTCAGTTCTGCGACCCCATGAAAGTTGCTTGATCCCTCTGCACCTCTCTGTTCTTCATCTGTAAAATGGGAATAATAGTAGATCCTGCCTCATGGCAGAGTGGGGAAGATTAAATGAACTTTACGTGTAGAATGCTTAACACCGTATCTGATGCATAGTAAAGAGCAACGGTTGACCATTCTAATTAAATGCTTGCCAGGTGCCAGGCACTGTTTAACACTTACTGGATATTAGGCTGAAATGCATGAAACTGCTGATGTTTGAGCATCTTGGAACAACCAAAACACCAATTTTATACACTTCAACCATTGATTCCCCCTATACCCTATGTGAGGAAGGAGTTATTATCCTCATGGTAGATACTGCAAAACCGAGGCCCAGAGAGGTTAGATGACTTTCTCAAGGTCACACAACTAGTGATAAAATAAGGATTCTAACCTGGAGAGCTTGGCCCTGGCGTCCGAGTACACCTGCTGCTGCCTCCCAGATAGGAGGGGGCCTCACACTACCTCTTGCGTTTTAAACCACCTAGAGGATCTTACCCCTGGTATCAAACCCAGGTAGCAGCCCCTCTGAGGCAGGCTGGACTGTTCCAAAGGTAATTTGTTTTGAAACCAGGGGAAAGCTAACAGAAAATAAAAAGAAAAACCTAGCAGGCTGAAGACAATGACATTTACAAGCTGGGACATCTGGGAAAGTGACTTGAGCCAGCAGAGAGCCCTTGTGCCTCAGTCCCTGTGGCCTAGGACGGCCACACCCCAGCCTGATGGTTGGCCACAGCTTTGTAGACATTTTAACCTTACCCCTTCTGTCTCTGCTCCATGGGACTCTGGCCACGGATCCTCTCCCAGAGATGCAGCCCCATTCAGGGACACTCCCTCTTCCCCAGAACACACCCTCTCTGACCCAGAGGCCAAGTCTGGCTGGAGGCTTCCCCTCCGTTCCAATTTCTGTTGAAGGGCAGGAGGTGAGATGGCCCCTCGAGCCGGTATAACTGAGGCCAGAGGCTTTTATCTTTCCACTAGACCATGGTCTATTTACCATATGCTCCCCATGCTTTGCAAGGTCTTCCCCGCCCCCCGCCCCAATCAATCAATCAATCAATCAATAACTGCCAGTTAGAGCTTTTGGTCTGGGTGGCATGGCTAGACTCAGGTCACTGAGTTGATACAAGACCAGCCCAAAGAAGGATACAACTCTATGTGTGTGGTTTTCTTATGTGCTGAGAGATGCTGACAAGAGGCATCCACGGTGACGTCAGAAGACACGTCGCCTCTGGGGACTCCAGCTGGTAACCTCTAACCTTGTGCTTTGTGGCTTAGATGATCAGCTCTGCCTGGGTGCTGGGTGCTGAATCAGAGTCCCTCTCCCCACCACACACACTCCCGGGGCAGTGGGCTTGCCAAAGCTCTCCTCCTCATGGTACCGCCAGCCCATCGCCCTGGTGCCAGACACCGTGGACAACCCCCAGAAGAAAAGCGTTGTTAGCGCTCAGAATTTTGAGCTCTCCACTCCTTGTTGCTGCTCACATTCTTCCATCCTCTCTGATTCCTAGAATCCCTTTTTATCTCTGCCTTTAACTGTCCTGTACTCTACGAGTATTACAGTAAGTTATCCCAAATGATTTTTGGAAGGAGGCTAATGATCCTATTTCAGATACAGGAAGGAGAAAACTGTTGAGTGGAGAGAGGCAGCTCTGTGGTTTTGAGCCGTGGGGGAGCCGGTCAAACTTGGCTTAAATCTGGGTGGGCTTTCTGGAACTCTGCTTAGCTCGCACCACTTGATGCTGATGGTCCCTTTGATCTGCGTTCTTTTAGTTTGCTTGTTTCTTTTCTGTTGATTTTTATGAAAAAGGCAAATGTTCATCAAGTGCTGACTAGGGCGAAGTAACTCATGTAAATCCTCACAACAGCCCCGTGTAAGAGGTAGCACTGAAGCATGAGAAATGGGTGTTTTTCTGAGTCAAAGATGGTCACATATCAGCAGTTTCGTGTGGTTCTGCCGAATGTTATTATCCTCTTCAGATAGATGACCAAAAGTGGCACAGAGAGATCAAGGAATCGGCCCAAAGTCACACGGCTAGTAAGTGGCAGAGCTAGGATTCAGACCCAGGAGGTCTGGCCCCGGGGTCTGGTCTCAACTCCTACTTGGTATGCATCTCAACAGGCTGAGAACCAGGTGGTCTTTCAAATCCCAGAAATAACCTCAGGGTTTGCCGGAAGCAAGACCCAGAGTATAGACCAAAATGGAGACTGCAGAGATCAAGGCGGTCTTGGAGATGCCACAGCCCAGCTTCCTAGACCCTGACACCCTGAACAGTGCTCCCAGCTGTTGAGAGGGAGGACCCGAAGTTCCCGCAAGTCACTGAAATATCAAAGGGAATCCCGTTGCGGCTCCAAATTGTATTTTTGAAGGCAGGAGAGGGTGCATTTCCAAATGATTTCAACAAGGGTTGATAAGAAAAAGACCTCTGCCTAACCAAAAATCCTCACCCGGACCCCAGCCGCTGAGCGCTGTGCGTGGCTGGGCCGTGGTGCGGGGTGGAGAGCTGCCGCCAGGTCCGTGCCCTGGGCCCGACTCAGGCCACTGGCCCCAGTGGCAGGTGGTGGGTTGCCCGTGGCCAGTCTTTGCTGAGGACTGCTCTGTGGATAGCACACACATGGAGACTCTCCCTGGTTCTTTGGGGAGAGGAGAGAAGCCTTCACAGAAGATGCCAGCCTACCCTTGGGACAGCCCGAAACCCACCTCCCTGCCCGTTTTGCCCCACCCAAGGGGATATGGCTGAAATACAAAACCAGTGAGGTCATGTCCCTTCGCTTTTCTGCACGTCACGTGCCTCCTCTCTCATTTCCCCAAACCCAAGACCAAGAGACAGAACCAGGGGTCCTTCAGGCCCCCCGTCCTTTCAGTGCCAGGATGGTACTGCTTGTTAGTGCCAAGTTGAACTTATGTGTACATGTGGCCGTGTGTAGGTGTATGTTTAATGAATTAGATGCTGTCATAGAAGGCTGGGTGGGTTACCGCCCCTGGAAGACTTTCCTGATTAGTTCTGTTGGACGCTGACCCCTCCCTCAGCATGCTTGGTGCTCAGCTGGCCCTCTGTGACTAGTCCGCGTGCGTGTGTGCGTGCGTGCGCGTGAACACGCACGTGTGCTGACATGGCTCACGTGAACCTGCGGGTCCTGCCTCCCAGATTGCGAGCTGTCCTGGGATAGTGGCTGCGCTTTCTTTTGCCCCCAGACCCCCCTGCACATGCCCGGTACAGGGTCGACCTGCAATAAACAACTGCCAAGTGCCGGGCCTTGTGCCCAGGAAATGCCTGATACCCGGGTTTCTTTCGAAGCTTGGATACATGTAGAATGTCATATTTCGGGGGGCAGAGCCATGTGTGGCTTAGGGTCTTTTGGATACTCCCAGCCGGCAAGGCTTGGTCTGGGGGTGCTGGCTGACCACCGGGACCCTGGTGACTGGGGCTGTCTGGCGGCTTTGCTAACAGGACTAGGTTGCTGGCACAGCTCTCAGCACAGATCACTCGTCTGTGTCCAGACACGATTTTAATTCTCCTGCTAAATGCCCTGTCACTTGGAATTGAGATTGTGTCTGCAGTGAGGCCAGGGACAGTGAGTTTAATTTATCATCTGGAATCTTTATCAAGATCCGTTCTGTCTATCCATTACCATCCTCCTGGCTATGCTTTTCTGAACTGCTAATTTCTCTCTCTCGTTCCTCCCAATTAGCTGTAGATTAATGGTGGTGCCGGTCACACCCTCTCTCCTTGGAAAGCTTCCAGGCTCCGCTTCCTTGGAGCTGCCTGGTCTGCGGCATCAGCATCTGTTTCAGAGGCGGGGAAGGCCGTGCCTGGGGTCTGGGCCTCTGGGGAGCAGCGAGTGAATGGGGCCCACTCCTTCTGGGGCTGCTTCTCTGGGGGCAGGAGGGAGTGTGAACAGGTGTCCACACAGTACGTCAGGAGGCGACTAGGTCCATGCAGGACTTGATGGTGGATTCCTGAGAGACGGTATGGCATCTGTCTGTCTCTCTCGGGATCTAACCTTGCGAGCAGTCCTCCCTTAGCATTTCAGATCAGGGGAGCCAAGGGGAAGAAGGGGAGTCCGGGTGGCCAGTGCGTGGTGGGTCACACGTAGGAACCAGACCACTCCTGCAGGAGCACAAGGACTAGCAGCAGTTTGAGGATGGTCAAAGGGGTGGGTAAGACTATAGGACGTGGCTGTCCTCCCTCACCCCGGTGCTGTGCTCCAGACACCCTCTGACACTCCTCTCTCCTCCCCAGGTGCCTACCTGGTGCCCTACCTCGTGCTGCTGATCATCATCGGGATCCCACTCTTCTTCTTGGAGCTGGCCGTGGGCCAGAGGATCCGCCGCGGCAGCATTGGCGTGTGGCACTATGTGTGCCCCCGCCTGGGGGGCATCGGCTTCTCCAGCTGCATAGTGAGTCGGGGGCCCACACTGGGCAGGAACAGGCAGGCTGAGGGGCTGCTCCTGGGAATGGGGTTTGCAGTTGGGCCAGGTCAAGGGCAGGGAGGGAGACCCTCCGCATGAGAACTGCTTACAGCCAGCATCTCAAGGCCACGCATTTCCTACATTGAAAGTGAGTTGTGCTTTCTGAAGCAGGATATAATATTTGGAATTGTTACCGAGGATGAAAAGCTGGGACGTCTCAGCTGGAGTTCTCTGCGGCCGGACCGCAGAGAACGTGGACCATCTGGATACCTCTGTCTGCTTACCAGCCCGTCAGCCCCATGCGAGGGAGGCCCTTCCTCTTTCCTTGATTGAAGAGTATTTGAATTGTGTGAGAGTGTGGCCCAGGAAAAGTCCGCCCTGAGGCATGAGGTCTCATTGCCAGTTTGCTAGGCACAGGAACAGAGTTGGAGAAGGTCTCAGACAAGAGCCCATGGCTAACCCAGGAGGGGTGAGGCTTTGGAACAGTGGGAGCCAGAGAGGCCCCACTGGCCTGGATGGGGAGCTTGGTGAGGCTCATTCACAGGGCTGGAGGTGAGGCTCTGCTTAGTTCTCTAAGTAAGGAAACTGAGCTTCCCTTAAGAGTAAAGCGCATGGGTCCCCCTGCTCACACCTGCTCCTGGAAGGGACTGGGGGAGGGTCTGTGTAGCTCCCGCAGTCCTGCTGGGCTTCACCTCTGCCCAGGTTGACACGGCTCAACACAGCGTCCTCTGCTGGGGCTGGCCATGTGTGTACTCACGAGTGTGAGTGGGTCTCCCCTCAGCCTGAAAGTGCCCAAGCGAAAGAAGTAGGGGTCTCTCTCCCTCTATACTCCCATTAAAGTGTGCTGTAGGAGTGTCTGCTCCTGCACACCAGGGCTCAGGTGACACTGAGGCAGCAAGGGGCACTCAGCTCTCACAATGATCAGCATAACAGAGCTGGGCCCCTGGAGGTAGAAGGGGCCTCTCAGCATCCAGAGCAGGTACAGCAGATCCCTGTGTGTAAAAGCATTGCTTTCTGAGAAAGCTTTTGGACCCTCAGTCCGAATCTACGCATTCCTCTTTCAAGTAAAATTCTGCCAAGGCTAGTGATCGTGTTTCCAAGACACGAGAAGTGACATCTTTCTGGGGGCAGGCTACTGCCAGTACCAAAGAGAGAGCGGCGTCCTAAGAGAAGGGAGGACATAAGACACCAGTAAGGAGGGAGGACATAAGACACCAGTAAGACGCATCCGCAGAACCTCAAGTGCACTACAGTCTGGGGCTGTTGTCTATAGAGGCAAAAGCTGTGCCAGCCTCCATGGTCCCGGAGGGCAGCTCTGGAATTGTCATCCTGAGTCATCAGGAAATGATGGGGAAATGCTTTAAGCATCTTAGAAGAATTTCAAACTGGAAAGGATTAACATTTTAAGAGTTCATTGCTTAAAGGAGAGATCTTTAATATCTGAAACATTCCTCTGTGGATTCCCTGAATACCAGGTGAACAGAGGATTAGGTGGAGGCCTTCAAAGCCCGTGCCTCATTCCCCCTCCTCCTTCTCCTGCAAGACCTCGAAGTGTTGTGTGCGGTCAGCCGGAGCCTGGGCCTTGGACTGGAAGTCGGGGTGGGGTGGAGTAGCCTGCGGCCTTCATGACCCCGCCCCCCACCATGGACCCTTGTCCTCAGGTCTGCCTCTTTGTTGGGCTGTATTATAATGTGATCATCGGGTGGAGCATCTTCTACTTCTTCAAGTCCTTCCAGTACCCGCTGCCGTGGAGTGAATGTCCTGTCATCAGGAATGGGACTGTGGCAGGCAAGTACGGGACCCCCTGAGTAGGACCCCACCTGGGGACCCCAGCCAGCCCATCCCAGGAAGGGGTTGAAGGAACCTAAGAGGCTTAGGCACAGATTTGGGATTTCATTGACTTGTGTCACCTTGAACAAGACACCTACCTTCTCTGATCCTCATTTCCCATTCTGATGGTCTATCCCCTAGAGTTCTCAGGGGATTGAATGAAATGAGTGTAGGGAAAACTCTGGAAAGTGTGGCTTTTGTTCAGTTGTTATCAATGATCCTGTGTTACTTGAATACCATCCTATCTGGAAGCAGCCTTAATTCGCATGCCAGTCTTATAAAAGGCTGGATGATTTATCCTACCTCCCAGATGGGTAAACTGAGGTCCAGAAGTGGCTGTCCTGTGTTTTGCACAAGGATCTGGGATGAGAAACCAGATGTCTAACTCCTAGCTCAGGACCTTTCCCAGGGAACTTGAGGCCAGTTCTGCCTAATCCTTGCTGTCCTCCACGGATGGAGGTGGGCAGGGGTGTCATGTGAGGAAATTCAGCTAGATCCATGTGTCCCGAAGCCTCCCGGGCCCCATCTGGAGCCCCATCTGGAGTCCTCAGGGTCTGCCAGATCCTGGCTAGCCCAGAAGGAACACTGGCCCTCCCTGCTACCCGCACTCAGCCGGGGGCTCGCCCGCTGCTGCCCTGGGTGGGGATCAGGCAGACGAGGTGACCCCACAGCCCCACCTGAGGCCCTCTCAGGGCTCAGGTATGTGGGATTGGCTGGGCTACTTCCTCTTTCAAGTAGAATTCTGCCAAGGCTAGTGATCGTGTTTCCAAGGTGGAAACAGGCAGACGAGGTGGGCCCCACAGCCCCGCCTGAGCCCCTCTCAGGGCTCAACAACAGGGCTGTTGTTCCAGTGGTGGAGGCAGAGTGTGAAAAGAGCTCAGCCACTACCTACTTCTGGTACCGAGAGGCCTTGGACATATCCAACTCCATCTCGGAGAGCGGCGGCCTCAATTGGAAGATGACCCTGTGTCTCCTGGTGGCCTGGAGCATCGTGGGTATGGCTGTCGTCAAGGGCATCCAGTCCTCGGGGAAGGTGAGCAGGAAGGGAGTCAGACCCACACAGGGGGCCACAGAAGAGCATGGCGGGCAGGGGGCTGAGGACCCCAGGTTACACCATGCAGGGTCTATTGAGTGGGCTTGGCCTCTGGGTGGCTCAGGACGACGACACAGACCCGCCGTGGAGGCGATGGGCGTGTCACTGCTGCATCATTGTTCCCTGTGAACAACCCACCAGGAGTGGCTAGGAGGGGGCTTGTGGAAAATCAGTGCTTGACCCCCAGCCACCTCTGTGCTCAGATACCTCAGGCCTGCTCCGCAGACTTTAAAGAGAAAGAAAGTTAGGAGTTCGGACCCAGGGACATTCGTCTAGATCCTAGCCCCTTAGGTTCCCAAGCAAAAGCCCTAGAAGAGCCTGCTCTGAGCACTTTTTAATGGAAATCAGCAGCGCATCATGTGTGAACTAAGGGGTGCCTTGAGCAGGTGGGTGCTGTGAGCCAAGGGGCCTTGGGGCCTCCGAGGGTGGCTCTCCGATGCTCTGTCAGGGCGCAGCCCAGCCAATCCCACACACCCCTTCAAGTAGGGGCCCTTTCTTCTTTGTCATGTACCAGTATTCACGGACTGCCAGGGCTGGAAAGGACATGAGAGACGCTGTGGCTCAATCCATCCGTTCTACAGATGAGGAAACTGAGGCCAGGAGCCAGGAAAGCCCCTCCCCTGAGATCACACAGCCAATCAGTCCCAGAGCTGGAGCTGGGGCCTTGGCCATCTGTCTGAGGCTCCAGGTTCCATAATGGACTTCTCGAGTAAGGAAGCTAAGCCTTGGGAAGGTGGAGTATTCTTGGCCACCACCTCTTCCCTCTCCACAGGCCAAAGCAGTAGCTGAAACTTGAGGGCACTTACTAGGTACTGCCACACGTATGAACACTTTTGGTCCACAGCAACCTCATGAGTTAGGAAGCCTTACACCCATTTTATAGATGCGCAGAGGAAGGCGCACAGAGATTGAGTGAATAGCTCAAGGTCACATGGTAGGTAAATGGCAGAGCCAGGATTAGAACTCAGGTACTCCAGCTCTGGACACACATGCTCTTTCACCTTCAACACCATCCCACCCAAACAGCCCTCTTGATTTGTTTCGGTGCAGCAAACAGTCTGTGAGCATCTCCTTCCTGTGTGGCTCTCTGCCGGGCACAGGGGGATACAGAAATGTGCAAGAAATGCACATGCTAGAAAACAGCACGCAGCGTCTAATCACAAGAGGCAGGACGTTTTCTGATGTTTTGGCTTGGGAGCCATGTCTGTAACCTCCCGGATGCTTTCTGTCAAAGGAGCTCTAAGGACGGGAGAGCCTTAGGGGGTCCACTGGAGTCAGGGATGGAAAGGCAGGCATGAGACATGAAAAAGTGAGGAGGGGAGAGGAGAGGTTTCTCTGCCCCCTTGGCGGTCCTTGGGGGTGGGGAGGCTGTAGGCCCAGCCCTGCCAGCCCTTGGAAAGGGGGAAGCTAGCCCCAGGCCCAGCCATGCTGACTCCAGCTTGTCTGTGCTCTTGCTTCTGCCTTGGCTCGGTGCCAGGCGCACGGTGGGTTTGGCCCTGTGCCCAGGGGTCCCAGGGCTTCTCTTTCTGCTGCCATCAGAGGAGGCTCGTGTGCCCCAGCTGTGAGCGGGGAGGGGGGTGCCAGCCGCAGGAGGCACTCTGCCCCACGGTGGGTCCCTGTTCTCTCTGTAGGTGATGTATTTCAGCTCCCTCTTCCCCTACGTGGTGCTCGCCTGCTTCCTGGTCCGGGGGCTGTTGCTGCGAGGGGCCGTCGATGGCATCCTACACATGTTTACCCCCAAGGTAAGGGTCTGGGGGACACCGACAGCTCTGCTGGGCCCGGCCAGTGTCCTGCAGTTTAGCACTCATAAGGACCTGTCATGTGTCAGGCAGTCGTCACAGGCCCCTGGAGGCATGCAGTGGGGAAGGGGCATGCACCTGCCCTCAAGGTTCCAATGAGAGGGACATCGCATCAATTTGGGTAGAATCGGGAGAAGCTTCAGGGAGGGGATAAGTGGGGAGCAGATCCTATTTCAATGAATGGCCGTCGGACATTGCAGTCAAAGGAACCGCAGGAGCAAGTGTGGAAAAGCACTGGGCACGCTTGAGGCCATGGTGGGAGGGCAGGTTTGGCTGGGGCACGGGGGCTGGGAGCACGGGCGGTTTCATCAGTGGATCTATGACAGCAGGAACCAAGGAGATGCCTAAGAAAAGGTATCTCCGTGCTGGGAATCCCAGCTTGTACCCAAATCAGGGGAACAGTGTTACTGTTTTATTCAGGATAATAGACCACGCAGGGTGTGATTTTACCCTTACCAAATCCATCCATATCTTCTGCTCATTTCATCCCCCCCCCCCATAGCCCAGTGAGGGACCACTGTGCACATTTCACAGGGCTATCGCAGGGCCATAGTCACCCTGAAGAGATACACGCAGGTTTCTTGATGGTGGTCTTTGCCACCACGTGGCCTTGCCTCTCTACTCCCCACTGGCCATGGTTGGCATGAGCTAGACCCCTGAGCAATAAGGGGATTTCAAATGCAGAATGGAATGCCCTTCAAGGTGCCCCGAGCAATGTACATTAGTAACCCATAAGGGAAGGCTGGAGAGGTCCACCTCCAAATGCCAGCTGATCAGTGAGCAGCCAGCTCATTGGGGAGACTCCAGGCGACGGGCATGGGTCAGAACGCCACCATCTTGAGGCCCTCAACCTTGGCCCTCAACAGTGCCGTGTCACACGTGTGCTCACCCACACCGGTGCTCACACAGGAAGTTCATACAGACGACACAGGGAGAAGAACCCGGATCTAATGGGGAATCCCTATTCCCTCCCAGCTCCGCTCTGCTGCTGGGAACATCCCCGGATGTTGGGGGATGGCAGTGGGTAAGACACACACCACTCACAGTCATCAGATAGCAAATCCATTGGCCCCAGGCATTCTTGGATAGAACATCTGAGGCTTACAACCATGGAGGTCCACTTCAGGAAGAGCTTAGTGAATATCCTGACCATGAGTGCGCCTCCCGAGCCACGTGGCTGACGTGAGGATGTTGTGAACAAGTGATATCCGACAAAGAAGAAAAAACGCAAACCTGGTACGTTTGGGGGGAAAGGGCCATGAGAAGAGAGCCAGTGGTTTTTATGAGTTACTTCCACTGTATTTCTAGAATAATGATCAATCTAACGTTTTCACTTGAGTCTTTCAGTTATATTTTACTGGACTTTGTGAGGAAACAGTATACTCTGGAGGTGTTCATAAATGGGGAGATTTCACCCAGGTCTCCAGATGGGCAGGCCCCTCGGTGGCATCCATCTTGAAAGAGCCCAGTATGGGAAGGATTCATGAGACTGGCTTCCGGTCCCAGCACACGCAGTACTGCTCCCTGTTTGATTCAGACACTCTTTAAAAACATCTGTTCAATCATGAAATATCACAGGCATGTAAACACACATATATAATAATATAATACACATTAGAGAGGCCATAAAATATTACAGAGGCCATAAACGTGCCCTTATATCCTGCCCTGACCCCATGTCCTTCCTCCCCCAAAGATAAGCACTATCCTGAATTTGGGATTTATCCTCCTAATACACTTTTTAAAATTCGTAATACGTATACCTGTATGCATAAACAACGGATAGCATTTGTGCGTACTTTTAACCTTTACACAAGTGGCATCGTACTATATGCAACTTCCTGTGACTTGCTTTAGCTTTTATTTTTGCTCAACACTGTAATTTGAGATTTATTTATAGTGCTGTTTGTAGCTCTGGTGCATCCATCTTCTCTGCTGTATCCTCGTCCACTGTGGCACTGAACTGTGTTTGTTCATTCTCTAGGTGAGGATCATTTATGTTGTTTCCAGCTTTCACCATGGGGCTAGGAATGCTACAGTAAACATTATTGCACAGCTCTTCACGTGCACAATTTTCCCGAGGGTGTCTGTGTTTAGGAGTGGAATTGCTATCTCAAAGGGTATGTGTATCTTCAGTTTTGCTAGACGGTGGCCAAATTGCTCTTCAAAATGGTGGCCATGGGCAACACTCCCACCAATTGTATAAGAGAGTCCCTGTGGCTCCACGTTTATCAGACTTCCATTTTTGCTAATCAGCTGGATGCAAGATGGTGGATGTGCACTTGGAACAATAGAGGACACTCCTTTCCAAAACCTTTTCCTGGATGTTCAGGAAACGGTGTGATGCCACTTTAGCATCTGCAGGGGTCAGAGTCCCCCTGAGGTGAAGTTTAAAGAAAAACGAACCCGGAAGGCCCTGGAGGAGCCAGTTACCAAGACCCAGCGGGTGACCCTGGCCCCTCTAGCTCTTGTCACTTTCAGTCTGGGTAGAGCCTGTGGGCTCGTCTCGAGATCTTGCTCACTGAGCAGTTCTATGGGGCAGCTCCTGCCCTTGACCTTGGATGGATGTGTTGCACAGGGAAGGGAAGGCCTAAAGGCCTCAAAGGCCAAACTCTTCCATCAAGGATCCCCTTCACAGCCTGTGCTGCAGGTAAAGCTAGTAATGATGGCTGGGTGAGGCTCTTATTTACAGATTCCTCCAAGTCATCCACAAAAAGGGTGGATCCACTCTCAGTCTTCTGACTGTCCATACGTGGTAGACTACTGTTGCAGAGTTGTGACTGTGCCAGCACAGGATTGGTGAGATATGAGGAACCCTGGAACAATTTCAAGTTCTTGACCTCGAACGGTGCTATCGAATGCTGGGTCATTGCACACAGCTGCCCAGGCTGTGCACTGCTCCATTTATATTGATCACAATGGGAACGAAATCCCCAGGGGTCATGCCATTTGGCAGCCGTGGCAGAGTCCAAGAAGATTTTTGGCCAGGGCATCTTGGAATCCACTTGAAAAAAGCATAAGCTCTCCATGGATATGCTGAATGTCTTCTTATGAAGTCTTCCAACATCAGAAATAATCCAAACCATAGGATCTGGCCTTTCAGTCCGTGCCCTCAAGCAGTCCCTGAGTGTGTGACAGATGCAATGTGGCCAGGATACCATGATGACCCACTAACACCTTTGATGGGATAGCAACTCATGTTGATGGCTAATTAAGTTCTTGGATTCCTTGGGCAACTTCTCTCCTGATTACTTTCTTTCCATCCAGTGAAAAACCCAAGTCAGCATGGAGTGCTACAGAATTCACCATGTGACTTGCTCAACACAGAGTCGTAGATTATGGTAGACTTCTCACCACCAGAACTTTCAGAAAATGTTTATCAAAATTACAACCGTTCAAGTCCTTTGGCCCAGCAATTCCACTCCCAGGTACTTGTCCTACAGATATATTCACTCACAAGGAAAATGATCTGTGCACAGTATTGGTCACTACAGCAAATGTTTTAAAGTGCAAAAGAATGAAAACAACCTGAATGACCATTATTCATTTATCCCTTCGTTCAGCAAAGGTTCACGGGGTGCCTTCTATGTTCCGGGCTCTGTTGTGGCTCCTGGGACGCAGCCATGAGCCAAGCAGACAAACTTCCCAACCCTCCTGGATCTTGTATTTTAGGGAGACAGACGATATAAGATTAAGGAGTTGTTGGGTGGTGTTGTGAAGGAGACAAATAAAGCAGAGAAAAGAGGATTAGGGACACCAGGGAGAGGGGTTGCTTCAGACAGCGTTCAAAGAAGGCCTCCCTGAAAAGTGGCATTTGAGTAAAGATGGGGCGGGTGGGGGAGCAGGCTGTGTGGATATCTAAAAGTAGCCCCTTCCATTCCGGAGGGAGTGATAAACGAAAAGGCCTTGAGATTCGATGTGTCTGGCGTCCAATCCAAGGAGGCTAGTGAATCTGGAATGGGTTGGGGGGAGAGGGAAGGACATGCAGTCAAGGGGATGGTGGGAGCAAGTTCACGAGGGTCTTATGAGCCAGGTATGACTTTGGTGTTTACTTTTGGTGAAATGGGAGCCATTAGAGGTTTTGAGAAGAGGAGCAACACGATCTGACTTCTGTCCTTGAAGGATCCCTGTGGCTGCCGTAGAGAATCTGAGGGGGCAAGGGTGGAACAGGGAGACCTGGCAGGAGGCTCCACCCAGGTGAATGCATCCAGGTTCTAGAATTCATCCAGGTGAGAGGTGACCGGAATTTGAGCCCAGGTGATGGCAGTGGGAGTGATGAGAAGCAGTCGGATTGAGGATATATCTAGGACATAGGGTCAACAAGATTTGTTGTTGGATTGGACGTGAGGGGCAAGAGAAAGAGAATGGTCAAGGGTGACTCCAAGGTCTTTTGCTTGAGCACCTAGAAGCATGGAGTTGACATTTATGGAGACGAGGTTAGATGGTGAGAGGAGCAGGTTCAAGACAGCTGTTTGGGATGTGGCAGGTCTAAAATGTCTAATAGATATCTAAGTGGAGGGGTGCCTGGGGGGCTCAGTCCATTAAGCATCTCTGCCTTTGGCTCAGGTCATGATCCTGGAGTCCTGGGATCAAGCCCCACGTCAGGCTCCCTGCTCAGTGGGGAGCCTGCTTCTCCCTCTCGCTCTGCCTCTCCCCCTTCTTGGGTTTGCTCTCTTTCTCTCTCTCTCTCTCTCTTTGTCAAATAAATAATAAATAAAATCTTAAAAAAAAAAGATACCCAAGTGGAGATGTTGAGTAGGCAGTTGGACAGATGAGTCTGCAGGTCAGGTGGAGATATAAATTTGGGAATCAGAATTTAAAGCTGTGGACTAGTGAGATCATCTCACTGCGGGACCTCTCTTCCCCCGGTGCCATTTTTTTCTGGGAAGGAGGAAGCGAGGGCATCGGTTGAGAGTCCAAACGGCGGAGGCGTGGTGGGGGCC